ATAGAGATGGATATGGTACCAAGGTTTATTGTTATCTTGCCCTAACGGTTCCAGACAGATACCTTTACACGCTGAGCAAGCCTACCTTTGGTTGATATGTACACGGAGGGGATGCTGACGACCTGACCCTAGCTGGAGCTTACCGCAGACTGCCGACCACGCGGCCCGGGAGCGTCGGCCCGGTCCAGGTAGCCTCGTCGCCATCCTGTGCCTTTCCGCCCGCACCCGGTCACTATCGCTCTGACTCGAACTCGACTTAGCCTCAACAAGGGGTCCCTACTTAACTGCCTAAGGGTCTGTCCAGAGAGAGGTAACATAGCGCATAAGGCGCGAATATTCAAACAGAGTGAAACTGGGCGGAGCCCGTGCGTCGTCCCACGACAATCCCCTGGGCTGATTTTCTCTTTTTCACTAGGGTCCTACCTTAATCGTTTTCGAGATTTAACGACCAGTTCGTAGGCAATTTATGTCGTAAAAGTACAACTTTCCTTAACAGTGTACACACATTGACTCACCCGGTGGTCCTGGAAACAGTCCCTCAACTTTTTCACCTCCATGGTGGCCGGGTGGCGTGGAGGTTCAGGGGTCCCATGGGTCGGCAAAGAGTTGACTCTCTCGGTAGAAGAACATGGTCCGGAGTAGAGCAGGGACAGGCCTCCAAAAAAGAAAAAAAAAAAAGAAAAAAAAAAAAGTTCAGGCTAAGAGTAATTGTTTTGCCGTAGTTATCGTCCTGGTCCTGGCTGAGGATGCGTTGAACTCACCGGGCAGCGCCGCGCACTCCAAGTGGCACATGCTGGCGTAGGTGCGCCGGTCGGAGGCGCATACCTCCTTGGCGGCGGGGGGCAGGAGGGCCGGACACGGGCAGGAGGCCTTGGCGACTGGCAGCAGGAAGACGACCAGGGTGGTCGGGGCCAGCAACGCGAAGGGCGCCATCTGGAGCAACTGGGCTGGACGTATGGGCCGATGGGGCAATCACTTGCGAAATACTAGTTCGTACAACTTCCGCCGAAATTGTCCGGAAAAAAAGGCGAAATAGAGGCGAAATAGACGCGAAATAGACGCGAAATAGTCGGGAAACACCCCCGAAGTACCGCAAAATACCATGATATAATCCGAAAAAGGCGAGAAATAGCCGAAATGGCAGGAGAAATAACAGAAATGGTACACTGGAAATGCAAGTGTGTGAATGTCGCTCACCTGCAGATGAGCGACATTCCATTCGTACACTTAGGGGGCTAAAGGTGTGAATTTTTCCTAGAAAATTCACACGTTTACCCCCCTAAGTGTACGAATGGAATGTCGCTCACCTGCAGGTGAGCGACATTCACACACTTGCATTTCCAGTGTACGAGAAATACCACAAAATAGCCCGTACTCTACGACTCCAAGTGATTTCCTCGATCTGGGCTATGCTACAGACACATAACTGACATTCGAATCGACGCTCAAACGATGTGGAAAGTGATCTAAACGATGTCGTTTCGACATGCAATTTCTCATTGGGGCGTGCTGTGCAAATAATTCTCACTTCGCTAACACAGTGGGTGAACGTCCGCTAGGTCATCTCATTTTGGTAGTCGAAGTCGGCGATTTCGAAGGTACGCACATTTAATGATAGATTGGACCTAGTAGAGACCCTGTGCAAAGTTTGAGCCCTG